TGTAATGAACAATAGCATAAAGCACTTGCTTGCATAACAAAGCTGCAGTGAACAGTCACTGAATAAACAAAATAAGCATTTGTAATGTGTAGCTGAAATGTTGAAACGAGGCATGTGCCCTCTGTCGCTGATCTAGAATCAGGGTGCGGTTGCACATGAACCAGCTGTCTCACATACCCAAGAGATGAGAAGCATCTGTCATTGTACCGTTAAACACATGGTCAGCCACTGGGCTTCTTTTCCCCCCGTTCTCCACTCACACACATCCCTCAAGTCATGCTATCTCTCTTAATATGAGAATGGCTTCTTTATAATGTTGAATACACACTCAGTGAAGCAGCGTTAGTGCAAGACTATTCTTTTATCCAGATAAAGACACAGACCCTTGAGCATTTCTCCAGTGATGCCTTGACAACATAACATCCACTGAGGGGCATGTTTATTGTCGAGAACACAAGTGCACTGGGACATAGAGTGTATTTATAATGCTGACAGCTTACTAATAGGCTTTTCTGACCAATGCAAGATTAGCAATATGTTTATATTATAGCCTTTTGAAATTAATGATTGCTATATATTTTTGAAAATACATTTCCTGCATTTTTAATCAATAAAAGCATTTTGTAATTATAAATTACATTTTATTATTGTAAATTCAGTATTGAAATCAGTTATAGAAGCCACCATATATTCTCTTAGGGTTCATTAACTGATTTTAAACAGAAATACTTTGCTTTGATCAGTTTTATGCAGCTTTCAAACATGTGGTCAGAATATAAGGCAGCACAAAAGTTTTTAACATTTATAATAATCAGAAATGCTTCTTGAGCATCAAAATCAACATATTAGAATGATTTTTGATCATGTGACCTAAAAGCAATGATAACAAAAATCCAGATTTTGTAATGTAAGCAATACAAAATATTTTTTTTGGTGATGAATTGGACTTTTCTTTTACAACAATTTACCTGGGAAATATTGCAGCCAACTTAATGGCAAAAGACAAGTATTTATTAAAAATACTTCTAGCAACCAGTAAGAAAAATGTAACTCGAAAATGGCAACAACTCAAACCCCCTACAAAATCTGAATGGATGGATATTTTATTGAATGTTCAAAATATGGAGAGGATGACTTTCTCTTTAATACTACAAATGAACAAATACATGCAATATTGGGAGTAATGGATTGTGCTTATGCTTTTACACAGTTTAAATTATTATTGTTTTTTTTAATTAATTAGTATTTGCACTTTTTTCTTAACATTTTTCTTCCTTTAAAAAAAGAAATAAAAATAAAAGTCAAATTTTAAAAAATCAGATTTATTACAACGTAAAGTTATTTTTAATTTAAACCAAACTTCAAAATCTTCAAATCAAATAAATACTGCTTGGATGAAAATTTTGCTAAATATTTTTACAAAAAACTAAAAAATTTTATAGAAAATAATAATAATAATAATAATAATAATAATAACAACTATTATTATTATTATTATTATATTCCTACTTAAAACTGTATTTTAAATAAATTATGAATAATTTTAATATATATTTTTTCAGTTTATGTTGTGTTGCTCACTTTATAATGAATGTCTTGAAAACAAGTTAATTTCGACAGCAATTAAAAGCTTATGTCACATCACTTGTCAGGAAAAAAAAAGTTACCACCCAGGTTAAAACCATAAGGTGTGGCTGGAGGCTCTTTGTACCAACCAGACAGACAGACGGTTCCTCCAAAGACAACAAGACTGCTGTTATGCAATCTGAAATCAAGTTAGCAACATTAATCTGCACTAATGAGAGCTGAACTCCGTAAACATGTCCGCTTCTGGGTGAAAGAATGATGTTCTGCTACAGTTAGTCTAGTTAGCATTGTTTATCATCTTAACTATAACATCTTAAAAATCACACAAACGATATATATTTAAGAATAAGTTTTAGACCATTTCCTTTCTATTCAATATGTACTGAAAAACACTTAAACACTTAACAATAAATCCAAAACTGGGCTGCACGATAAATTTAACAACTGTGATTAAGCTAAATCTGGATGGATATCTTCTCAGGAAAAGAACAGTTCTGTGATCAGTAGTAAATCTCCATCTGAAGGCCAGTCAACTTAACAAAAAAAAAAAAAGCTTTGCAGCAAGTTGCCTTAGAGTTGAGTCAACTTTTTTACATTGTAATTTTGTGACTGTTAGGGCCATTACATACCAAGCCGATGGTCGGCCGTTAGGCTTTTTTGGTCAGTGTTGGTTCATTTAGTTCAGGGTAGGGTTGTCACGATACTGGAATTCGGTACAAGTCAATTGTGAAGTTTTAAAAACGTCAAATACCCACTAACATTTGAGAGCATCTGAGTACATTTATAAACAGTGCTGATTTGCCGTTGTGTTCACATGCTCAACAGAAATGACTGTGATTGGCCATGAAGGTCATTAGTTCACCAAACTCACCTCTGTTTACTGAGTGCGACCGCAGATACAGGGACACTATAGCATTTTAAAGTCACTTCAATCAGCTGGTTTGTCTATAAGCTGATATACGAGTGACTCGCTGATGAATTATGGTTTTAAAACACTACACCACAATGGCAAATAAGGGCTACTTAGGAACGTGCTCAGTATTGCTCAAATGTTAGCAGGAAATAAACGTTTTTATAACTTCAGTATCGATTGGTTATGAAATCCAGTATCGTGACAACCCTACCCTAAACTAAAAGGACCAACACTAACAAACAAAGCCTAACGGCCGACCATCGACTTGATGTGTCCTAGACCTAACAGTCACACAACTACACTGTAAAAAAGTTGACTCAACTCAAAACTGTAAGGCAACTTGTTGACTCGAGTTTTAACCCAAGAACTGCCTTTGACTCAATATCAATTGAGTAAACAGTCTATGATGATATATGGTTTACCTTATTTCTTATCTTTTTTCTGATAAAGTATATAATAATGCAATGCATTTGTCACTCCTTAGAATTTAGGTCCCTTTAAGGCAAGTGATTTCAAAGTCTGTGTGAACTAAAAGTTGACCTATTTTGGCATTTTAATTTGAGCTGAAAAATAATACTGTATAGATTTATACTTGAGTGTATGTCAGTGTGCAAAGTGTCTATGCACAGTCCTGTACCATGCGCTGAACACTAACACACACCTCTCCAAAAATTAACTACATGTCGCAACAACACAAGATGAGATCTGTGATTGGTCGACTGAATAACAACACAGTTCCAGTGCATTTCAGCATTTTTGTTTTAGGCATTTCACTAAAAGGACCTGTTTTCAACATCGATCAGCTCCAACTCATGACATGACCTGCTCAGCTTGTTTCCACTATTTACAGTGACCTAAAATCAAAACAGTCAAAAAAACAACAGAAACTCAACAAAGGGGAACACAGAAACCCCACCTCAAACTAGTGTTTCGTTGGTGAGCAATGCAGACAGACCACAGAAGTATAAAAGCTCACAATGAAATCAGCTTTGACACAGAAGAAAAATAGCAGTGGTGTAGATATGCTCTTGACATTGGTGGGGACATACATCCCTATAGCGCATGCACAGAACAGCACAGATTCTCTTTCATGCTTTTAAAAACATTTATAAACTTTTCAACACTTAATAACTCAAATAACAATTAATGAAACGCGTCGCATGCAGCAAAAGTCAATATACATGATTTGACTGCAATCTGGCTTTGGGGAAGTATGAATGTAGAGAAATTTAAAGGGGCATGTGATGCAATTTAACCGTTTTATCCTGATTTTTTTTTTTTTTTAAACCATGAAAGACAAAATCAAAACTGAATTTTGATTTTAATTGCACAACCTTGGTTAATAATATTGTTATGGTGGACTGGACTCTAAACGAACTTAACTTTAAAATCTCGACTCTTTGAAAAGTTGCTACTTATGTCCACGTCTTGTACAGTGAAGGAGGACTGGAAAAATTCCGTTTTGGCACTCCTCACGTTCAAATGTAATTACAGCTGTCATTAACAGCATAAATAGGCCCAGCCAATCATTGTCCTTATGTGTTTTGTCGTTTACTGTTTCAAAATATCTCTCAACATAAAATATATTGTGTTCAAAGGAGAAAAAAGTTTTAGTTTTTTTACCCAGATATTTAAAAAGAACATATTTTAGAGCAGTAATCACAATACCGTAAACTGTGACATTTTATCTAAGGTTATCATACCGTCAGAATCTTATACCGGCCCATGCCTAGTGGGGACACATCCCCTCCATCCATGCCAAATCTATACTCTTGATATATAGTGTGGTTAAGATGCTCTGCCCAAGCTGTCAATCTGACGTCATTAGAATTTGAATGCCACTCCAGAGCAGAAGGAAATTTTCAAAATCGATTTAAAATTAGTTTTTAAATCATTTTTTTCAGTGGATTGATTTGAACACGTTACATTCGAACTTCAGTAACAGCACTGTGATCAAATAAAAATTAATTTAGTCTATTTTGATTTCAAGCACACTTTAAAATCTAAAACAAATACTCCACCACTGGCTACTACAGTCAAGCACATGCCAGCGCAAACACATTCAGGTAAATTCAAAACAATATAAATAACTTACAAAACTAAATAATGCAGTTATGTTTGCATGTAATGCAAATTATGCATTTCTACAATGAGACGAACAAACCATCTAATTACATCTAACAAAAGGCTTAAAAAGCAAGGCACAGACAACGTCCTTGATTTTTCAACATTTCGTCGACAAAAATAGAATATGTCACATAAACAGGTTTATGTTTGCTGTGCAGACAACATATCTTTGCAGGTTTTGAGTCATGCAGTGAAGCAGATATCAGCACACGGCCTTTAACGGGCTAATACACTGTAGCATGCTAGCATCAAATCCAAATCTGCATATATTGTGTGTTACATTCCCCTTAAAATGACACAAATATTAAATAACGCAAATGACGAGTAGAATAAATAAAAGCACGGCCGTATGCATCGCTGCCACACATCCTACCTGTTTCTACAGAAGCTTTTTATTCCAGATAGGCTTGACATAACAGCGCTGAACATTAGCCAGCAACAGTGCTGCTGTAAACACAAACCAAACCCCGCTCGAACCGCGCATGCGCAGCCGCACTCTTCGGAAATGTTCGGAATGCAATCGAATGCTAGCCTACTGCTGTATGCGCAGTATGTACTGTATTATGCAAACACATTTTTAAGATAGTATACCACTCAAGAACAATGGTATTCAAACAATAGTGGTGTGTGTTGTTGTCAGACTAAATCATTATGGTGCAAGTTTACCTAAGTAGCGTCTGCTTATTGTTTAGAAAATAAGCATTCATTAATAAAATAATTATAAAAAAAGATTATAATATAATTGAGTAGTAAGTGGGAAAAAAAAAGAAATAAGAAGTTCTTTTTAAAAAAGCAGAGGAGTTGTGAAAGTTGCATTGTGGGGTACAGGTTGTTTTCAGCACATCTGCATCGTTGTACTTTATATACTCTTTAAATACAGCAGAAATAAAGACATAGAAATGCTTTTTCGAACATAGCTCAAAAATCAGCAACAGATGCATAACTACAGGGGTATTTTGGGAAAACTTCCATTTTTAACCATAGAGGTTTTTATACACAGAATAAAGGGGAAAAAACACATCTGATTGTCTAGCTTGTGAAATAACATTGTTTATTATTTAGAATATAATTATATTTATAATTGTATTAGTGAATACAATATTACCCACTGGTGACCAACTCACACCTGAAGCTTCTCTGTGATGGACGTCCTGCGTTCTCCAGCCTCCAGTGCATAGACTGCAGCACTGCTCAAGGAGTTTAGCCAGAGGAGAAATGGTCTTGCCCAGCTGTGCTTGGTTTCTCACAAGTTTTTTTTTTTTTTACTTCACTTTTGTCAATTGGTAAAGGTTTTTCCTCGCCCTGTCACCACTGGCTTGCTTGGTTTGGGACTTGTAATTAACAAACTTCAATTAGTGCAAAATGCAGCTGCCAGAGTTCTTACCAGGTCTAGAAAATATGATCATATCGCCCCAATTTTATCCTCCTTACACTGGCTGTCTGTTAAGTTTTTTATTGAATTTAAAATATAGCTGCTTACATATAAAGCTTTAAATAATCTAGTTCCTGTTTATCTAACCAACCTTCTGTCTCGCTACAATCCAACTCGCTCTTTAAGATCTCAAAACTCAGGGCTTCTAGTAGTACCAAGATTAGCCAAGTCGAGTAAAGGAGGTAGTGCCTTCTCATTTATGGCTCCTACACTCTGGAATAGCCTTCCTGATAACTTCCAAGGCTCAGATACACTAGATTAAAGAACTATCTGTTTAGTAAAGCAAACACTCAATGCATCACTTAGCGGGTTTCTACACAGCTTTCTGCATCTTGTTTATATAAACTATGAACAGCAGCTACGCTACTTATTCTCTTTAGTCTCTATTTCCACCTGGGGATACTCTTCCTGAGGCCCTCAGACTATGCTGAGTCACTGATTTGATCCAAGAGCAGCGACGAGATGATCTCAAGGTTTCCATATCCTGGACCAGGCCGTATCCTGAGCAGCTGCTGTGGTCATGGAGGAGAGGAGAGCATGAGACTTATTTCTGTGACGCTCCAGGGACAGACGAGTCTTCGCTGAGGCCCAGCTTTCGGCCTTGCAGTTCTGCACCAGACGTTTGGCCAGCGGAGAAATTGAAATGATCGTGCCCAACTGAGTCTGGTTTCTCTCAAGGTTTTTTTTCTTTACTTTCGCCAATTGGTGAAGTTTTTTTTCCTCTCCGCTGTCGCCTCTAGCCTTGATGGTTTAGGATCGGTAGATCTACACACCAATGGATTTGCTCTTCAGTGTTTAGGCCCCCAGCAGTGATTATTAAACCAGACTGAACTGAGCTGAACTGAACTTAAACACTAAATATTGAACTACACTGTTCCAAGTTACTATGACCTTTTAAGTAAAGCGGCGTTGACAAAATCTACATTGTAAAAGTGCTATACAAATAAAGGTGAATTGAATTAAATTGAACTTGTGGAGCTGCGCATCAATGGATTTGCTCTTCAGTGTTTGGACTTTTAGCAGTGAAAATTAAACCACACTGAACTGAACTGAACTTTAACTCAAAACTGGACTGACACAATTTTAGTTTTAATGTTAAGCTGCTTTGACACAATCTACATTGTAAAAGCACTAAATGAAGATTAATTCTTTGCAAACAATTTATTTGCACTGAATTCAAACAAACTAATTAAGTTGAACATTACTAAATTTAATTAGTTTGTTTAAATTCAGTCCATATAAATTGTTGCAACAGTTTTGCAGAAATCATTTTCTTCAGTGTGTATTGGGTACTTTTAAATGTCTAGATGTTCTAATAAGTGTTTTTTTGTTCTAAATGTAAAACATTATTAACTGCAACCTTGTTTGATTAAATTATAAAAAAAAAAGTGCAAAAACGTGATTATTTCTGAAACAATCTCACAAAATGTTTTTTGAACTGGGTGAGCTAAAATTGTCCGTAGTGTATGTGTGTGAATGAGTGTGTAAGGGTGTTTCCCAGTGATGGGTTGTAGCTAGAAGGGCATCCACTGCGTAAAACATATGCTGGATAAGTTGGCAGTTCATTCCGCTGTGGTGACCCCAGATTAACAAAGGTACAAAGCCGAGAGAAAAATTTATGAATTAATTAATTTAAAAGTAAATTTTCACCTTGTTTCCTTTTAATCCCTCCCAGGTTGTGATTATCTGCCAAATGTTGTTTACACAATACTGTAAACTTTTTATTTTCATAATCAACCAGATTTAACTGAAATTCAGATGTCTTTTATCATTACTGTACATACAAAATACATAATTTATATAAAAAAATTGGTTAAAGGATTAGTTCACACAAAAAATAAAGCAATGTCATCAATACCCTCATTTCAATTCTGAGACATTTATTCATTTTCAAAATACAAAATCAAAGATATTTTAGATAAAATCTGGGAGCTCTCTCATCCTCTATACACAGCAATGATCCCGATTATAGTTCAAAGCAAAATCCCATAGACATCCTCAAAACACCTTCAGTGGTTCAATTGGAATATAATTTTTGAGCATTATCAACTATTCTACAGTTTCTTCACCTCAGTGTCAGTATATTGCGCACATTTCATGAGAATGCTATAATCTTAATGCATGTCCCTTCTTAGTCATGTGTACCTTGAATGCAGGTGTGCTTCATTTCAGCAGTGGAAGTCATGTACGGCCATTCAGGGTATACATCAGTACACAGTGCTCTTGAACATGTGCACTATATACTGACACGGAGAAGAAAAGGTTGAATAAGTTATTAATGTTGTTGTGTGTACCCTAAAGTATTTATTTATTCATTCATTCATTTTCTTTTCGGATTAATCCCTTTATTAATCTGAGGGTCGCCACAGCAGAATGAACCACCAGCTTAACCAACTTATGTTTTACGATGCCCTTCTAGCTGCAACCCATCCCTGGGAAACACCCATGCACACTCATTCACACACTACACGCCTTCCCAATTTACCTATACCAAATGTCTTTGGAATAGTGGGCGAAACCAGAGCACCTGGAGGAAACCCACACCGACACAGGGAGAACATGCAAACTCCACAGAGAAATGCCAACTGACCCAGCCGAGGCTCAAACCAGCGACCTTCTTGCTGTTCACTGTGCCATCGTGACAAGTATCTTACAGCTTGATTATATTCCGATTGATCTACTGAAAGCATATGGTCTGTTTAAAAGGCACCTATTATGCAGAAATCACATTTTAAGGTCTTCAAAGTAAGTAAAATGCAGCAAAGTAGTCCACAGCCACGTTATACCACAGTGCACCAGCAGATGTCATGCTTATTCACAAAAAAATTGCATCCTCAGGATAAAAAGAGTCTGAACACTCAAGTGATGATGTAACTGTGTTTATTATCTTGGCATGCAACTACATGTCATGACCTTTAGATTCATCTCACAAGCTTGCCCTACATGTCAGAGCAAAGCTTAGCCAAGATACAAAAGCAATAACATACAAACAAACCCAAACGGTAAGAATTGACTGTGCGTTGGCTACATTTCTATATATTCTTCCTTGCATTGCCACAAGCAAAAGGGATATCTTTGCCCGGTGGTGTTTAAAAAGAAACAAAATGCAAAATAAATAATTTCTACTATTATTTCATCAAAAGATATTAGTTCCTGACTTTAAGAATCGTTCTCTCTGTGGTCATAAATAGCCTCATATCTCTGATTATATATCATAAAAATGTGCAGTATGTCCATCAAATGATGGCTCTGGTTGTATAAAATGACGGATGCCCATCTTCTATTCATTTACAATTGAATCGAACAATAGATTTGCAAATAAAATGTCTAATACAGACGTAAAAATATCCAACACATCAGTTCGTTTTTTGCAGTTGCGCACAGGACAGAAACAAGCATCATCACAACCAAACACGTCCCGTCCAATTATAACAGCCAAGTAAATTTTTAAAATTCAAATGCAAACAAAACTGACATTTCCAAGGGAAAAAGAAAGAATTATGGATATAAAATCCTGATAGAAATCCATAAGAGCAGACAGTAAGTGCTATAGGAAGTGAGTAAAAATGCGAGATACAGTGCAGGACACTCACAGCGCTGGGTGTTGTGTGACACAACTACACAATCATACTTCCTTTGCCAAAGAATATCTTTGCCAAAGGCAGCATGCATGATACAGGGCTGAGCTGGGCAGATAAACGAGTCAAACATGTACTAATAAGGCTTTGCTGCGTCAAAATGAGCAAAAAAGGAAACAAATGACATTTATTTTGAAGGCAATTTGACAGCTAGTGAGAAAATGTAGATAAACTCTCATTGTTACCAACCCAGCTCCAACAGTTGTAACCTCTTATATCAGCTGAGGCCAAACTAATAGTAAAAAAAGTGAACCACAAATAAGGAAGAAATTCTCTACATGTAAAAACATATCAAGAAGGTGTTGCGATTTCACACGCTAGGACAGAAAAAAAATGAACACATTTTGCTCGAAAGCATTTCATAAAAAATGTCTTTGCTGGAAGGTGCTGCTGTAACATCCCCTGTCGAAAAA